CCACCCGCCGACTGATGCCCAGCCAGTTCCCGAGCAGCAATCGCTGTCCCCCTGCCAACTCCCCCCAGTTTATATACTGAGCATGACGCCATATGGTATGGAATAGCCCTTCGGTCAGTTTGGATCAACTGTCCTGGCTGTGCCCCCTCCCAGCTTCTTGTGCACCTGGCAGGGCATGGGAAGCTGAAAAGTCCTTGACTAGCATAAGCAGTACTTAGCAACAACTAAAACATGAGTGTGTTATCAGCATTATTCTCATCCTAAATCCAAAACACAGCACTATGCCAGCTACTAGGAAGAAAATTAACTCTATCCCAGCCAAAACCAGGACACCTGTAAAATAGCTATGAAAGGAAAAGTCTACCAAGGAAAGTGTTTGGTGTCAGTCTGAAAGCAGAAGGCACAGGGAATGGGTCTGTCTCACCCAGGCTGGGTGCCGGTGGTGTTAGATGTCCTCTTGGCACTAACCTGCGGTGATTCCGCAGGCAGCGGAGCTGCTCGCCCCAGCAAATGTTGGGTGCTGTCCCAGCATGCAGCAAACAAAGCACACCCCAAGCACAGCCTGGGGAGGCTGGCATGCAACCTCTGTACCTGTTTCAGTCAGCCCCTCCTGGTCCCTTACAGCCTCGCAGCCATCTGGGTGTCCTTCCCCCTGCCGCTGTGACAAGGATGGAGCCAGGTCTCTGCTCCCCTCCAGGGAGGGAGGCAAGTAGGACTGCAGCAGCTGTGATCCTTTGTCCCAGGGGCTGCAACCTGGGGTAGTGCAGGGGATAAACAAGGCTCTGGCAGAGCAGCGACTGTCCCTGTCGTCCCTGTCCCCTCCCCCCCAAAAAACCCCAACCACTCATATGGCAGAAAAATCATTGCACCAACTACGTTACTACTGTTTTTGAAGTGAGACTTGTCTGGATGTGTCCTGGTTTTGGCTGGGATAGAGTTAATTTTCTTCCTAGTAGCTGGCATAGTGCTGTGTTTTGGATTTAGGATGAGAATAATGCTGATAACACACTCATGTTTTAGTTGTTGCTAAGTACTGCTTATGCTAGTCAAGGACTTTTCAGCTTCCCATGCTCTGCCGGGTGCACAAGAAACTGGGAGCGGGGGCACAGCCAGGATAGTTGATCCAAACTGACCGAAGGGCTATTCCATACCATATGACGTCATGCTCAGTAAAAGAGGGGGGGGGGGGGGGTGGGCCGGGGAGCAGCGATCGCTGCTTGGGAACTGTCTGGGTATCGGTCGGTGGGTAGTGAGCAATTGCATTGTACATCACTTGCTTTGTATAGTATTATTACTATTACTGTTTTACTTTATTTCAATTATTAAACTGTTCTTATCTCAACCCAGGAGTTTTCTCACTCTTACTATTCCGATTCTCTCCCCCATCCCACCAGGGCAGGGGGAGTGAGCGAGCCGCTGCGTGGTGCTTAGTTGCTGGCTGGAGCTAAACCACAACAGTCCTTTTTGATGCCCAATGTGGGGCACGAAGGGTTTGAGATAATAACAAATTAACCAGACTGTATTAAGGAATCTGTTAACAGTTGCCAGTCATGATATTCATTCATCTGATATGCACCATGCTCCTTTTTTTGCTGTACATGTTAAAGATTGGTGTTGGTTTTTGTAGTTTGCTGTGCTCTGCAGTGATTAGTGATGTTTTGCCTGGGAGATTTGTTATTAAAACACTGACCTTGAGTATTATCTGGTATTTGGGTTTTGTACTGAAGCTATTACTGTACTTTGGGTACCACCTCATGGAGAGAATTAGCAATCATACCTCTTCCTCTGAAAGTTTTTTTGTGGAGGAAATACAGAATGGCATCTTTGCTACCTTCTTCTGTGATGTTTCCTCCTTCATTACAATAACTTTTCAGTATCTTGAACATCCTTGGGTAGTTAAGATACATCTATTGGTATTTCTTGGGAATATTGCTTCTGTTTTGATGAAGGTTAATAAGCAATTTAAGAATATCATCCAGAGATCTTCCCCAAGGCTGGATAGTTACGAGTGGCAGGGTATGTGGGATAGTACAAGCAAGTATGTAGGACAGCGAGAAAGGTGAATCAAAGGCGTATCACCATAGGTTTAGTTTTATTTGATTGGGATTCAGCCCTAATCCCTAGATTTAACCTCATTTATCCTGTCTCTGAGACTTGCTCTCCCATTGCAGCTATCATCTGCCCAGTGCTCAGCGCTCCAGACTGGGGAGAGCTAAACTGCTCCCACGTCAACGGGGACTTCGCCTTTGGGTCCACGTGTGCCTTCTCCTGCCAGACGGGGTTTGCACTGATGGGGTCAGAGAGTCGCGAGTGCACGGCCACAGGGACTTGGAGTGGGGATGCTCCACGCTGTGAAGGTAGAGCTGCTACTAGAGCTCAGGGTGCCATTGGCCTTGGGGTGACGCTAGGATGCTCCCTGGCCTCTTGGTCCCAGCAGTTTAGTCTCCCAGTCCTCAGCTCCTGCTAGAAGTGTGCCTCTTCACCCTGCAGCCATCACCTGCCCGGTGCTCAGCGCGCCAGACTGGGGAGAGCTGAACTGCTCCCACGTCCATGGGGACTTTGCCTTTG